ACTGGGACCTTTTCGCCGTTTGGGTTGTCAGGGATGTCTGAAATCGGCGAAAGTGACATGAGATCCGACCTCCCAGGGAAGCCCAAAGGATGTTTGACACGGTCCTTTGACATCATCTCGGTGTCACAAACGCAGGTGATGTGGCGTTCCTGCGTGTTTCTGTACTTGGTTGGGGGTCCACCTTTCTGGCAAATACGTTTAGTGATGGCTTGGCTAAAACCTCACCATCCACGGTTAGTCGGAAGCCAGGGCAGACATACGTTCTGCGATGACCGGCCTCGGTCAAGGCCAGCCTCATTTTGGATGCTTCCGTTTTCGGGCCTCCTTTTTTCATGGCGGCCATTCTTATCGTCCACCCCGACGAGTCTCTTGCAAGTAGCCCGACTAACGAAAGCAAACCCCGCTTGAGGCAGTTTGTATTCATCATCGCTTCGAAGATCAACATCCCTGTGTCGACCTGCAGGCCCGGGGAATCGCTTCACACCAAGCCGCAGTGTGGCTGTGTCTTTCTAAAGATTTCACGCCCCCAAAAAATGTGTAGTTTTCCTTTTGGCTTCCCCTTCAAACCAAAAAAGAACAAACATGTGGTTTTCCTTTTGGTTTCCTCTTAAAACCCTAAACCCAAAAAGGGCGGGGGTGCCCCCAAAAAAGGGCGGTTTCCTCCTAAAGCCAACCCCAGAAAGGGCGGGGGTCCCCAACAAAAACGCACCGCGTACGTTTCCCGAGCGACAATGGTGCATGGCCTCGGCCCGCAAAGCAGAGCAGCCACGTTGACCTTCGCTCCCCGAAGAAAACAAATCGTGCCTCCCCTTCTGAATGGGGACGGGGAAATATGTGAGGGGAGAAAATGCCCAAATATCTCCCCAAAGGGTTTCAGGAAAATGCCCAAAGGAAGTCCGAAGGGGGAACATATATGAGCGCAGGCAAGTCTGGGATGCGAAAGGGGGGGAAAATTATATCAGGGGCTAGAGAAGCGCCACCTAGAATATCATGCCTTACAGCCCACAATCCCATTTTTCCGTTTGTTAGGCCCTTGGAATCTTTTCCAAAAGGAAAGACTTGATTGGCCAGCGGCTGCTGGGCGCCAATGTGCAAAACATGGGCTGAAGCCAACTTGGAAGAGCGCCTCGATGTAGCTCGAAGGGCAAAACAAGCTTCGCGATGAAGGTCCCTGTCTTGGAATTTTCTCGATGTCCAGTTTCATAATTTATAGCAAATTGTCCAGGATGCCCAAAACACATCCCCCTCACAGCTAGCTTTACATAGCTTTGCACGAAGACCACCAAAGAGATGTTCCAGTCGAAGCATAGCCATGCTGATGTGTGAGAAGCGACGGAATCCCTAAGCAACTCGTTTTTGAACAGGGCTTCTGCATGACACGCTTCGTGCCCCTCACGCGGCGCGCGGCTTTGAGGTGGCAGTGAGAGAAGCCTTGGCAGCAGCCCAGCAGAGCTTGAGGCGTGGATCCTTGGTGGCTCCCAGCCATCCGATTCCTCTTAGCCTTTTGGCTGTTCAGTCGGTGTAGTGGTTGGATTTCCGAATTTAGCCCACTAAAAGTTCGAACATTTAGCGGGGGATCTGAGGACAGGCCAGGTTCCCCTGTTGGTTTGACGGGAATCTATCACTACTGGAAAGATTGCTTTTTGATTTGCATGGACTCAAGCAAATGGAAGCAAATGAAAGTGGAAATATGGGCCACCACCACCACCGCCGCTGCTGCCACAAAGAAGGACACAAGAGCTCATTGTAGATTTTTTCTCCATGAGGGATCCTTCGAAACTGGGAACTGCCCGACATGTCACTGCAATCGACTGGAGGGCTTCATGATCTTCAGAACGCCACAGGAAGGCCGTGCCATTCTTCTTTTGGGACGGCACTTTGGTATTGTCCTCGCTGAAGCAATCTGACTGAGCAGGATCCAGGTGGCGGGGCAAAGGAAACGTTCAACATGCCCTTCCGCAAAACCAACACGCAAACAAGTAAACAAACAAACAAGCAAATCAACAAACAAGCAAATCAACAAACAAGCAAACAAACAAGCAGAAACACACAAACAAACAAACGAAGCAAGTCCACAACCAACCATGCTAGTGCACAGACTTTGTCCAACACGTGTCTTTTACAACAGGAGATCCTTCGAAAAACGGGGGGTCCCCAAGACATCTCTGACTCCGGTCGAAGCTCATCTCAGCAGGCCGAAGGCCGAAGGCTTTCGCGCGATCGCCAGGCCGGAGGAGTTTGGGGAGGCGGTGCGCACTTTGACCAAGGTCTTCGGGAACGACGGGGCGCCTGGCTGACGGGTTGAGTGCACCGCCTCACTTGGAGTGAGTTCCTGGACTTGGCCGGTCCACTCAAGTGAGCCACTTGCTCAAAACCCGGGTAGATCATGGTTAGTAAGGGACAATCCCAACCAAAATAGCTTCGGAAATCCGCCTTCTTAATTACTTACATGGTTCTGGGCCGACCATTTCAATACCGGGTTTTGATTGTGACTCAAGTC